CTACCTGACCTCCTGGTGGATCTGTAGAAACACAGAAACCTCACTGAGCTCAACTATGAAACAGGTTCAATGTTTCTGCAGGTAGATTCAGGCTGTTGGAGGTTTTTAGGCCCATTGGGTCGGTTCCCTTATCAGCGTCTCTGCCTCCACAGGATGTGATGCTGGAAATGTGTGAAGAAGAAGTTTCCAGATCAGTGGTGACCCTGGGTCACAGCAGCTCCATCAGACCATCTTAGAAGGCCACCAAAGCTAGAAAAATGGACAGAGAGTCTTTTCTGTCCGAGTGACGCGTCTCTGACTGATATCTGAGTAGAACCCCTGATGAAGGTGTCTGGATTCACAGGAAGTGATGTCACGTCTGATCAGGAAGTGACCAAAGTAGGCGTGTCCAAATGAAAGCTGGTTTTCAGGTCATGGTGGCTGCCTCAGTGATTAGAGTCGCTGATAAAGCAGCTGAACATCGACTAGATGAAGCTAAATGTTGTTGTCTGGAGACTTTATTGATCCTCCACCTTCAGGATAGATTGATTTCATCTGGCTGTTCAACGCCTCAGATGGAGACTCTGACATGTTGGATCACCATGGTTACAGATATGGATTCATGTTTCTTCCTTGGCCTGATAAAATGTTAGTGTGCCGTTTCTTTGTTTCTGAATAGAAGCGATTAGTGAAAAGCTATTGTTCCATTCTTTATGCTGAGATGTAGGGAAAGGAAGGAGGTTTGAAAAGGAGTTTCCTCCCTTTTTAGATAAGAGGGAAAAAGATAAACAGCTCCCTATTGTGTTTAAGATTCTCACGTCCTGTCTCTGGTGTGAACGGAAAACAGCTGTCTGAAATGTTTATCTGAATGTATATTTATGTCTTTTCATGAAGTGCTTCTCCTGGGAAAATTCAATGTTCATGAGTGTGTATGCTGTGGATTCTTTTTAAATGTAGAGGTGTGTTTCTGAATGTTTAAGAATCACATTGGAGCTGTTTCTAGCAGTTCTGTGTCATTCTCCCTTCTGCAGAATGGAATAAACTATTTCTTCCTTGCAAATAATCTCCTGGTGCTCGTTTTACTCAACAATTTGGCATCACGAACAAGATCCTTCGTTGATCCGTCCGCTCGGTGGATTCCAGAAGAAGGGCTGATCACCAAAACCATATGGGTTTTTCCTCTACCTCAAATAGGCCATTTTAGAGAAGGAGGACTCTTCGGATTCTCCACCGGGTTGATCGATCTCGACAGGAGGACAAAAACTTCAGGAGCCTGTGAGAGGAAAAAAACTAACAAACTTCTTTAAACGTAAAACAAACTAAAATATTGTTATAATATTAAATAGGCAGTCAAAAGACTGACAAATAACAGGTCTCAAATAGGCTGAGGGTAAGTCTTCTTTAAAGACCGAGTTTTGAAATAGTAGGTCTTAATAGGCTGAGGGTAGTTTTTTTTTGAAAAGACAGTTTTGAAATAGTAGGTCTTAATAGGCCGAGGGTAGGTTTTTTTTTAAAAGACAGTTTTGAAATTGTAGGTCTTAAAAGGCTGAGGGTGTTTTTTTTTTTAAAAGACAGAGTTTTAAAATTGTAGGTTAAAAAAAATAAATAAATAAATACAAAATCCATCCATCCATCCATCTTCCTCCGCTTATCCGGGGTCGGGTCGCGGGGGCAGCAGCTTAAGAAGGGAGGCCCAGACTTCCCTCTCCCCGGCCACTTCTTCCAGCTCTTCAGGAGGAACCCCAAGGCGTTCCCAGGCCAGCCGAGAAACATAGTCTCTCCAGCGTGTCCTGGGTCTTCCCCG